TATATATATATATATATATATATATATATATATATTAGTCATTCATATCTTTTTATATGTACTATCTGTTGCACATGGCTTTATCATCTGGCCATTTCATATCGCCGGTTATCATTAATACACTTATCATCTGGCCATCACCAGTTATCATTATTCAATACATTGACCATTTCACTTAGTTGTTCAAATTTCGGTGGATACACTGCTCGGCCATTTCACATGATTTTTTATATTTGAGCAGTTGACCCGTCGACTACCATTAAATATCACTTGTCGGCGGCAGCCGCACTGGCCGGTATATGTAGTCACACATATTTATATTCATATCACATGGGTCAATCCATAAATATCCACATGTTCATACCAAATATTACAATAGTCAATCCATAAATATGAACATGTTCATGTACCAAATAATTTTCACAATAACAAAATTCAAACATTTTAAAATCATATAATATAATAAACCATATCAATATTGGTCTTAAAATGAAGCTCTTATTTAACTTGTTAACGTGGAATTAAAAATAATGAATTTTAACCATGTTTGATTCTCATATTTACTGATATGAGAAATGGAGCTATAATAGTATCACTATGTGTCTTCTTTTTGTTCAACCATTAATTCAATAGTTTGTACGTAGTGGACATATGAACACTGATCCTATCAATTTGTCAATAAATGCTATCCACCAATATAACCAATATTTGTTATTTATTATTCTACTTGCCTATTACATATCTTATTTATAAATTTTCACATCCCTGTCGACGATCATTTTTCATACCTATTGCTTTTATTTTTATCATACACAATCAAAGTAGAACAATTGTTGCATACCTGCAAACTTTTTTTTTTTTTCGACATACCTTCCTTCTTCTCCCTATTTCAGGAGTTGTTATTATTGTTGCCATAACCATATCTATGCAGCGTTCTTGTTATTTCATCAAAAAAATTTACATATCTTGCATCTGGACCATCCAATTCCTGGAGTCTAGCTTGAGAGATAATTCATCTAATGTTACCTCCATCTTTGCGACTATGTTTAACATAGCCATCGTGCGACCTCTATTTTGAGCAACGGAGAGTGGGAGCGACACAAGCTCGAGTGCTATTAGCAATTTGAATGGAAAACAACAATTTTTTTTTCACATTTTTATTTTTTTCGATGTTTTCTCAGTAGTTTGTGGTAATGGTGGAGAAAATAGAAGAAAAAAAAAAGCCCTTTCAAGAGGGTGATCGAAAGTGGTCCGATCACAATGGCCAAAAAGACTCTATTCTTCATATTTGAAGAATATATTCAATAACCATTTGTAACACACGAATTTCTGATACGGATGATCATCTCTAAGATGCAACCGTAGAGCATACTCTCGTCATATTACAAACTGAGCTATAGAGGGTAGAGATCGTTCTGATAACGTAATATAAAACTAGAGAGAAAGAGAGATAATAGAGAACATGTTTCTCTTAGGTACAATTTTAGGTACAATTTTCATTATAACTGAAGCTCCTATTTATAGGAAAACTTCTTATGGCACAACCGTAATAATACAACTACATCATGAACAAAATAGTTATTCACGTATATTATTTTATTATTTCGTAACAATAACTACTTGACTAGAGTTGTTGATGTTGTTAACCACAATGAAAGTCTAGGCGACGTCCCATACAAGAAAGTGAGAAAATATTCATAAAAGCTTACCAGCAAAGTATGACCACTGTGTTGAAGACATAAAAAGAGCCAAAGATCTCTCGAAAATGACAATGAATGAATTGATGAGTTCCTCACAAGCATGTGGACAAAGAATAAACCGGTCATCATCTCAATTAGTGGAGCAAGTCTTTCAATCAAGCGTCACCACTTCAAAAAAATCACGGAGAAACAGAGGTAATGATCGAAAGAATCGCTCAGGCCATAACCGTCAAATAAGAGTGATGATTGTGAGAAAAAAATATGAACACAAGAACCAAACAAAAATTATTGAACACGATCCTGAATGTCGTTTGAACACAAAATAATGGCCTGGCTACTTGCTTAAGTGAAGCCCATTATAATTTCCTTTTTCTGGTCGCTCAATTTTACTGCAGTTTTCATCCGGTTGCTTAAGATACACGCAGTTTGCATATCATGTAAACGGGAAAAGAAATAAGAAAACAGACTAGTGTACAAAATGATTGATCGTAAAACACGTAAAACTCACAATTAATTCATTTTCTTATTCAAAATCAACTTCCGATAACAAAAGAAGGGGAGTCTTTTATATAAGGCTCATAAACCCTATTCCTAACTTGTCCAACAAGACAAGATCTTATAATAATATCTAAGCCTAACTTATTCTCCAAAATAAATAATAATAATAATAATAATAATAATAATAATAATAATAATAATAATAATAATAATAATAATAATAATAATATTCTACACCAATGATATACAAAAACATTCAACAGGTTAAGAAATCCAACCCCTCGACTGCTTACAATCCACAGCGTATTATGAAGCACATCACAACACCTACGACAGTGTCACAATCAAGTACATGGAAACCTTGATCACAAAAGCCTCGCAAACTTTTTGAATGATTTGGCTTAGCCTCAGCTACAAATGTATAAAAGTTGTACTTCCAGTCAACTTGACTGCTGTTTTCTCGAGAATAAACGTGCTTTTTCTAAGAAGATGGCATACAAGATAGCTAAACAGACAAATGACAGAAAGAGTATGACCCGGCTTCCATTTAGGAGAATAATTTGGTGTCTGCAGGATTTACACAATGACTTGAAAGCACTTGAATTGATCCCAGGATGATAGTCAGCATGTCTTTTCACGATATGAAAAGACGCTTTTCAACATCAGAAGCTCCACCGGTCTAGTTGTAATTTGGCTTCGGCCATGTCTTTCTGGGCTTTTTTCCTCCGATAAAATATTGGACAATCCCGACTGCAAAGAGCATGAACTTATCAGAACAAAATAACCAATCCATAAGAAAGCAACGGATTGAGACGAAGATCATGTCTTGAAATGCCACAATCCAAAAATAATGACGTTGATCGATGGCGAAATTAATAAAAAAGAGTAAATTTCATAAAAACACCTTTTAAGTGGTTGCAACTTTCTAAGCACCAATTTAAATAGTGGGAGTGAGAAGGGGGTAAGTTTGGATACTTTTTGGTGGGTGATGTACATTTTTTCCCTTTTCCATTCCTATAAATGCCATGTGGGATTCCAGCAAGCCAACATAGCATGTCTATCGATGGAGATTAAAGCTATGTTTCAATTTGCAAAAATAAAAAAATAAATAAAAATAAAAAATAAAAAAACTACATATATGTTGATGTCTTTAATAGTCGCAGTCCAAATGTGATGACTAATTGCAAATAAGTAGAAAATGATACGTTTGAGGTTTGAACTTATTACGGGATGACCCAGTTATGTGTAAAAATTTGCTTAAAACGCTTGCGAAGTTATTGTCTTGCGCATAAGAAAAAAAAAAAAAAAAAAAAAAAAAAAAAAAAAAAGAAACATAAGACTGCCCTTCACTTTATAAAAATAGTACTTTAAAGCCCTCAACTTCAACATTGAATGTAACTTTGCAAATACTTTTGTAATTTTGAAAGTTAGGAACATGGAAAAAAAATGAATGCAGACCAGATGCTGGGTTTGTGGCTGAAATGACAAAATAATAATCCCAGCACGATTTCCAGAAATGGTTAAACCAGAACAATCCTACACAAGCAGTAATCAGGAAAGCATGTTAGAGAGGGAACAAATATCTAACCTAGTGCAAAGGACATCCTGATGAAGCGAGCCTTGACACTCTTGGCATTGTGTCCATAGCCTACCAAAAAGCTCCTCCAATTCCGCAACTGAAAGAAAAGAAAACGTTTTTCGAGACATATTGAGTAGCTAGTAAGAAAGCTATTCCATTGCTACTTAACAAGTTAAACATAAAAATTAAAGAGGTTTATGCCATCTAGACATGAGAAAGAGAGCACATACCATTAGCTACGGATTTGCAGTAGAGTTCTGCTTCTCGTCCTTTGCAGTGCGCACATAGAGTATGAGCGGATTCACTGGATGCGAGGAAGGGTTAAAGACTAACAAACAGTAATTTATTTATGGCTAGTGTAATTATGTCATAAAAAAATTTCTGGACAACGGGAAATCATTGGGACAACCATTCATGTGCAATTAGCATAAGAGTTCATGATGTGTCCCTTGAAAATGCATATACCAAGACCACATAACAGAAAAGCAAACAAGGAGAAATGACATACAACATTTTACTTTGAATTGTCAACACAGTATAAATTAGAAAAAGAACGAACTTCAGAAAAAATGAGGTCGACAAAAATGCGATTACTATTGGTGCCTAAAATTACGGTCTACACATAGGGAATGTTTAAAAGCTAAAAATAAAATAAATCCAATATCAAGGGAGAGGTCAAAGCTGGGAAGAGTAAAACAGATAGGAAGCACGACGAGGCCAGTAATATAAATCCGGTCACCATTTCCATGTATCCTAATCATGGCCATCTATTGGCAAAGCCATTATCTGGGTATTATGAGAACCAACCCTCCCTAGGACAATACACTTAATTTTACACGCAGAGTCCAGAAAATGAAGACTAGTCCCAAGTCTGCAAAGAACTAAAAATAGAATTCATACAAGCAACCCTACATAGAACATTCGTCTTGTCTATATACTGTTTCTCATAAAGCGAATCAGTGAATTTAAAACCCAACATTTTTTTATACCCATCCATCTGATAGTATTTATTAGAAAGAATTATCATGAATATTACAGAGAACACCGTAACAAATTGAGTTTACCTGATCAAAGCCTTGCATCCTATGCAAGTTAGTTGCTTTTTTGCAAACTTCATGATGCCACCGGTTGAAGGAGTAGAGATAGAAATAGATCTTGTATGACTTCCTTGAAGAAGCTCTTTACTAGCATTCTTCAAGATAGGCTCAAAGATCCTCAGCAATGGCTGCAAAAGAAAATTTTTAGTGACCTGGCTGAGAATCAGCGGAGTCGCACCATAAAACTGCAACACAAACCTTGCTAATTTGATTTTCAAGGTAGTAATTGGGGTCTATGGGAATGTTGTTTTCTAACACATAGATGGGATCCTCCGATCTTTCGTATGCCTGTTTATCATCACTATATCAATTTTCTGCGTCAGGTTTTAGGAAGTAAATTATGATCCATATGAAAACTTACCTTAGCCCCTTTCGCCGCTTTTACAATGACATAAGGTACTCGATCCCCGACATTTGGAGCGGTAGCAGCGTCTCTCTTTTGTCAAAAGGAAGGAGAAAAAAGGCAAATATTCAGAAACATTGGGATATGACAGAAGTTAACTATCACGAATTCAATTCAACACAAGAATGTTCAATCTTCAATCGAAGGGAAGATTAACCATCTCAACTTAACCTTATGAAGACTACTGAATTAGATCATTAATGATTACAAGCTCCTAGAACAACACCACAGAACAAAAGAAAAGCAGTGTGTGGACAGGTACTACAAGAACAGCTTTGAGTGAAAAATCCACCTGTTCCGGGTGGTTTAACTAAAAAGTGAATAATACCTCAAAGCTAAGTTAAACATCTAGAGGAAATCGAAGTTTTGAGAGTGTGTAAGAAACTAGAGAGTATACATAGAGATATTAATAGCTGAGTTTTTTTTTCTGAATTTGTATCCAAATAGGCAGTTCATTGAAGTACTGTTTCAGTAGGAAGGCTGTTAAGTGCCATGCAAAGACAGCTCTTGGTCACTCAAACATGCACAACAACAATTAACATAATTCGCATCATTTTTCAGTCAAGTTTGCAGTGAAAGCATGATATGCGAAATAGCAAGTGATATCACAGCCAAAACTAACTACAGATCAGTTATGATGATGAAGAAAGTGACTATTATTGTGCATATTTTTTTCATTTTATTTTATTATTTCTTTAGATAACTCTGACTTCTACAGACCTAATTATGCATACACAATGTCAAAATGATCATCACAAATTCTTTAGTCATTTTCAACCTTGCGCATTCGTTCCGCAAGCTCCACGTGTGCTGCTTTAACTTCATAGTCATCCCCTGTTTTCGTGAGACCCTAATAAAAAAGAGTAGTGCAAGGATAATCAATAATGCAATAAAAACAGGCAAAAATATTAACTAAATGAGGCAGAGACATAAATCCAAGTAAACTTCCAGGCCTTATTTATTACCTTGGTGATAACCAAAAGGGATAAATCCATTCGGTTCATGAGGAGATCTGAGATTGTGTTCTTGACATACTGAACTGCCCCAGGGATATCTTTGTCTATCAATATTTTATTGAGGCACTCACTCACAAGGTTTTTGACCAACAAACAATTATCCCTCCGAACGGTTTCAATACCTGATAATT